TCTGACCAATCTGAAGTGTTTACAGCCTCAAGACACCCTGACATGATAAACATCAGAAATTACATCATTATCAGTCTGATTTTTTTAAATTAAGTTCCATAGTCATACTTTTTTTCAAAAACTCTCATATAAGACTTCTTGATGCGTTAGTAAAAAATCTTGAGGTCTCTTTTTTAACAAAGCAAAACAACAAACCTGCTTGGAGCTTCTTATATTTACGAGCATCAAGAGAGTTTTTAGTTTCACTTGCTCTATATCAATGAGACACATAGAAACAGAAGAGTATGTGACGGTTCCCATATTCCTCTATTTATCTAAAAAATAAGATCAGAAAAGGAAGCAGCATTCTCATCTGAGAATATCCTCCACCTCAGCAATGATTTCCATTCTTCATCGATTTTATTTATTATTACTATCATTATTATTATTATATGTCTCAAGGGATTTAAAGAGTAAATAAAAATTTATGATCCAAACCTCAATCTCTTCCTCTCCTCCAGCTAAGGATCTGCCTTGCAAGGCAACAATACAGGGACTGCCAGCCCAGTCCTCCAGCCATGTCAGACTGGCGCCTGGAAAGTTATTCCAACCCGTCCATGGAGCAGGACCAAGCTCAAGCTATTACTCTTGCTTTCCAAAAGCTGAAATTATTGTGGGTTACCTTACCCTTTGGCAGAAAGATCACCCTTCCTGTGAACCCTTATGAAACACCACCAGAGGCCCACTCATATCACGAGGTTTTTCATGAAAATGCATATATCTCTAAGTGTCTCGAGAGCTAAAAGTCCATGAGCTAAGGAATTCGCAAAACCCTAAGATCAGGAAACAGATAATGACCAAAAATGACCTTCATTCTTTGCAGATCACTGATGCAGATTACATGAGCCCCTAGGTAAGAGGTTTGTTGTTTATAATTCTGCACATGTTTCCTACATTTCATCAAATCTCAAAGACCCCGTTCCCCAGTGACAAAGGTTTCCATAATGAGTTTACGCCTCCAGAAGAGGACACAGACTCCAACACTGACATTATCACCTAATTCTCTACCCATCCCTAACTGCTAGTCCTAAACCAAACAACTAGCAAAGAAGATTCTACCAATGACCTTGTGAGAATATGAAGAAAATTCTTACAGGTGTCATGATTTATGTCACCAACCTATGAATAGTTTGTGTACCAAACATTTATATGTAAGTTGAGTTTTGTAGTTGACACGCATTTTCCTACAGAGTCAATGGTTTAAATTATGGCTAGGTTCTCTGGCTAGCCTATAAAAATTGATTTAAACCACTATGTACCTAAACAAAGTATAAATAGAACTATTTCTAGTTTGTTTCACTATTAATTAGAACATTGTTTCTATGAAAAACAAATTCAAATCTCATCCATTCATTCACTTATATTAGGCTGAACCATATGAAAATGTTATTTTTGTAGGTCAAAAATAGTTGAATATAGACAACTTCATATGGTTCAACCTGATGTATTCATTCAAGAAAAAATAACTGAATAGCGTGAGATAGAAAGAGGTTGGGAATAAACACGTGTAAGTCAAAGTCCCTGTAGTTACAGATGGTCACATCCGGTCAACACACCAATGTATATCATGGGTGCATGACATCATGGGCAGCAGTTTGATGCATTTTGAGCAAAAGATAGTTAAAAACAGACACTTTTTTTTTTATTTCTAAGCAATGTAAGCAGCAGACTCTTCACCTCTGAGCCCAAGCCCCTTTGCCAACCCCACAACCTGAGTAGCGACAGGCTGGCATTACCCGGCAGGCAAATTTGACTCCACATAAATGGGAGTCAAATGTTTACTAGACTTGCCTACATCAGCAAAGGCCAGAGTCAGCTCATTCTCTATGAATTTATCCATATATAATGGTCTGTAACTCAAATTTTCTTATTACTCTCTTTAGCTGTAATGTTCAAATTTGTTTCAGGTAATAAATAGATTAATCAATTTAATAAGGATATTCAGTCTGTTTTCCATTGGAAAAACCTAGAGGATGAACACCTCTGCTTTGTGTAGGCTGCCTAATTAGGCTAACTATATTTGACTGAGTATATATTAGACAGTGAGCCAAGCAGGATGTTTGGATCACAATACGATCCCTTAGTCTCAACTCCAAATTGCATAGTTAATCTTCAATTAAATTTCTCACAAATTTCCTCATAGTCAATAGTATGCATGTGATAATATTATTAAACTCCTATAAAACTATAGTTTGGGGAACTGGATGATATAATCTTAGAATCCAGTCCAGTTCCAATAGAATTTTAAAATTTTAATCATCTTTTTGAATATAAAATTAACATTCATTAATTTTTTAAAAGTCAAACAATGCAAAAATAAAGTAGAAATTGAAAGTCAGCTATAATTGGAGTGAAAGAATAAAGAGAGCAAGGGATGGTGATAAAAAAGAGAGTGACTTTGCACTTCTCGTATCAAAACAACCACATCCAAAAGCCACAACATAACACACTCTACTTTGCCTACAACTACTATACAAAATCATGTATGATTAATACCAGATATTGGTTTAAATAAAAGTGCTTTATAGATTTAGAAGAGAGAGGTCACCTTCAGTTAATATGTCAAAAATAGCAATCGGTCTAATTTTTTATAAATCATGGCCATTATTTTATAAATCAGGGTCATTATCTTATTTGATGACTCATTCATTCAAGAGATGTCTGTTGAGTGACTACCAAGTGTAAAGCACTCTGCTAGGCACTGGGGATACAGAAGTGAATAGGCCTTGCCCTCCTGAAGATCAGATTCTAATGGGGGAGGTAAAATGTGAACAACCAATTACAAAATAAATTATTCAATTAGAACATTAATAAGGTCCGAGGCACAGGAATAAGTGGTGCTCTAAGAGCATAAGGGATCTAACCTAGTGGGAGAGGGATGGAAGTCTTCTCTGAGAAATGCTATGAGCTGAGCTCTGACGGATTCAGAGTTAATTCCTACCAGGCAAATGAAAGAAGTGGGAAGAGTGTCCATGTTCAGAGAGCCACAAATACAAAGTCCCTAAAAATAAAAAAAGCAACGGAGGCCATGCAAAGAACCGAAAGGAAGCCAATGTGTCTGGAATAGAGAGAGCAAGAGGAGGAACCCGAGATGAGGCTGGTGAGGCAGGCAGGGGCCAGACGTCACAGGGCAAGGTTTCTGAACCTCAGTGCTACTGACATTTGGGGTCAATAATTATTTGTTGTAGGGACCTGTCCTGCGCATTGTAGGATGTTTAGCAATATCTCTGGCCTCTACACATCAGATACCAGTAGCACCTTCCCTCCCCAGCCCCTATGAAAACCAAAAATGTCTCCAGACTTTGCTAAATGTCCCCTTGGAGACAAAATGGCCCCCAATTAAGAACCACTGCCACAGGGCCTTATAGGTGATGTTAATAAGTTGGGCCTTTATCCTAAAAACAATGAGAAAACACTGAATACTTTAAGCAAATGAGTGATTTTTCAAACAATCTGGAGAGGGCAAGAGGAAATTAATTAAAGGAGTGAAATCCTATAGCTGCCAGAGAAATAAATGAAAGCTCTCCAAGCCTGCAGAAAAGAGGTGGGAGTCAGCAGGTCAACCACCCCCGAGATGCTCTGAATTAGGTCAAGTGCCTCACTGGAAGTGGGAACAAGGCCACTAGTAGTGTCCCTCCCCATTGTCCACTCCTTTATCCGGATCATTTAGACTTCAGGAGACCGTGTTCACCACGCAGCCTGGCAGTAATGCTCTACAGAGTGTTTGTTGATGAATTGTTGGAATTCCAACATGCATATTGGGGAGGGGGGGTGGGACTTAAAAATAGTACGGAGAATAAATTGTAGATGGAGATTATAAAAATATAGAATATGTAGCCATGATATTTTATGCTCTTTTGAGTATATGTTTATACATATTTTTAGCACAAAACTAAAAAAGTCAAATATCAAAACCAAAGCAAATATCAAATACTGAAAGTGAAGACGCTGTGCCACGAGAAGCAGTAATTGCTTTCTTTAGAAGTCTCACGGCTGTACTAACTTAAGACTTTTATCGGTTAGAACAGAAAGTCAGTCAACCGTTTCCATCCTTGTTAACTCACTTCCCTCTGCTGTTTAGGAAAAGCATATAATTTGTCATGGAGGTTTCTTTTTATTTCAATTCTGTGGCATTGTTAGTTATTTTTATTTTAATGAATGCTTGGAAGGTATTTATTATATTATCTAAAGATAAATATTATTTATTAATAAGGTAAATCTGGACGAGCTTCTCAAAGACTTGCTATGTACACCCTTATTAAGAAACATAAGAGAAGGGAGCATTTTCTATAATGACCAGGTGCATGTGAATTTTGTTGAGTTGCCTCTACCTCCAGCCTTTGTCTTTTTCTCTCTCGCTCTTTCCCACGTGTGGGCTCTGCCAGTGAACCTGCTGTTCCTTCTCCCTCTGTCCTCACAAACCATGGCCCATCTGTGCAGGATGAGTTTCACTCAAACCAATAGCCAAGAAGCAAGAGTCAATGTCCTCAAGCATGCTGGAACGGAAAAACACTACCAACAGAATCCCTCTGACCCATGAGCCAGGTTAAGCCTCCAACAGCCAAAGCTGTCGTTAAATTGCTCTCACTTGAGTTCTGTCTCAAAGTTCCAGGCAAATTCCTGATTTTTATGAAAGCATATGATTCTTAATCCACTCATGCCACAAGTAAATAACGTGTCTCACGCCTGTTTCTGAGCACTTGCAGCAGAGGTTCATGAGCTTCGGTAGACATCAGAATTATCTGCACAGCCCTTTACAAATACATATGCCTGGGCCCCACTACAGACTTATGAAATAAGAGTAACCAGAGATAGGGGCAGACCGTCCATACTTTTAATCTTTCTTTTTTTTTTTTTTTTTGAGGAAGATTGGCTCTGAGCTAACATCTGTTGCCAATCTTCCTCCTTTTTTCCTTTTTTCTCCCCAAAGCCCCAGTAGATAGTGGCATGTCATGGTTGTACATCCTTCTAGTTGCTTTATGTGGGACACTGCCTCAGCATGGCTTGATGAGCAGTGAGGAGGTCCACGCCCAGCATCCAAATCAGTGAGCTCCGGGCCACCAAAGCAGAATGTGCAAACTTAACTGCTGCACCACCGGGCCAGCCCCAGACCATCCGTACTTTTAACAAAATCCCCAAGAGAACCTACACACCAAATTCTGATGAACACCAAAATTCAAGAATAACTACTTTATAGACTAGAGCAATAATTAATAATGTTCATACAATTCATTATTAATTGGTCAGGGATATATATAATTGACGACATATATTATTTTACCCCAGATGATTTGACAGTCTCCACTACTAGACTAAAATCTCTTTGGAGGAAACAAAATGTCTTAATCACCTTTGTACCCCAGATCCAGTTATACAGCATATGCTCAAAAAATTTTAGATAAACAAATAAACACATACATATCTACATACAGGAATATCTACTTTAATTAGTTTTCTCATTTCATTTGTATATAATAAAAACTCCTAGGCATACACAAAGGAAGAGGAAAAAATGAAATGCCAGGACTTTCATTTTATCACTTGGAAACGATGTGCAAGAAAGTAAATATATCAGGTTCCCAGAAAGGAAATGCATGTTCCTCTCACCCGTATCTTTTCTACCATGAGCTGATTTTAAGTCTCAATTATTACAAGAAATGAAAGTAAACCATGTTACACAATAGTCATAAAGCTCCCAGGAAGAAATGAGATTACTCCCACGCCCTCACCCGCCATCTCGCACGCACCCCCTTTGCTGACCTGACTGCTCATCGCCTTACTCCTTTGCAACATCTGCCTCAGAAGGTGTCTGTGTCTTTTCAAAAACAGTGTAACAGTTTCTGTCCTTGCCCCACATGACCCACAAAGGAAATTCTAAATCCCACATCTGATTTGAGACATCAGTAGCTCAAATGCAGAACAAGAAATGCAGAACCAGAATTATGAATATGCAGGTACAAAACGCAGTGGGTGCATTGGATTGCAATGACACAAATTCATTTGGTATGTTAAACTTTATGCACCTTTCGCTAGTTCTCTATTTTATTTATTCTGAATCTGTCCAAAAATGACAAATGTTTTCCCAATTACAGAGCACTCCATGAAAATCGCTGAGTAAGGGCACTGGAATAGGTTCTTCGTTTGTAATGAATTACTATAATTTATGTTGCGCATATCCCCTTGGAGAGGATAATAGGATGCTGATGTGCATAACAGATTTCCTTAAAAAAAGGAAAGAAACATCTTTCCCTGGATTCTTACTCTGGACAAGCAGTTGTAAAGCAGAAACGTGATGGTTGAGAGCAGGGCATTAAGCAATGCTGGGAGAGATCAGTTGCCAAATGGAGCTTAGAATAGAACTTTTAAAAATCACTCAGATGAAATTAATGTTACTTTGCTTCAATATCAATGCCATCTTTGCCATTAGTAGGCCTAGAAGTGCTGCTAAGAACTCAAGGAAGGGGAAGTTAAAGGGGAGGGCTGGCCCCACCACGGGTTGCTTAAACAGTCCTGAGATCCAGGACTCCTGCAATCTACCCATAAATCCCACCATCGTCACAACGGCCGATACCCACAGTGTCCTGTGCACACCCAATCAAATTCAGTACTTCTCAACCTGCAAAGTGCATAAGAATCACGTGGAGAACTTACAGATAGCTGACCGCCACCCCGGGAGATTCTGAGTCAGTGGAATGAGGTGGGGTCCAAGTGTTTGCATTTCCAAAAATTTCCCAGGTGATGCAAGTGATGCAGGTTTGTGGACCACACTTTGAGTGACATTCTTCCAAGGGGTTTTTTTTCTGATTCCTTTTACACGTCAGGGTTGTTTCTGGGTGTTCATAGCAACCTGGTAAACTGAGCAGGTTGACAGCAAACACACTGGGGGATTTGGCCTGTATTATCCCACTCGGGGCCCTGCATTTCCCCAAGAAGGATCTTGAAGAGGAGAATGCCACTCAACAGATCCCTGTAACTATGATGTTTAGATTGCTAAACTCACTAGGAAGTGAAATAGCCAGAATCCAAGCTAAGACAGCCTGACTCCAAAGACCATGTTCATCTCATTATACCACAGCTGTCATTCAAGTCATGAGATAACGATAACTCACAGAGAAAGAGAGCACGGAAAAGAGGCTGAAGTCAGAAACGGTGGGACTACTACATGTTTGGGTTAGGCTGTACCCCTCCCCCAAAAAAAGGCATTTTCAAGTCCTAACCCCCAGTAACTCAGAATGTGACTTTATTTGGAAATAGAGTCTTTACAGAGGTGATCAAGGTAAAATGAGATCATTAGGATGGGCCCTAATCTGATATGGTGTCCTTATAAAAAAGAGAAATTTGGACACAGAGCCAGACACGCACCAAGGGAAAATGATGTAAAGACACACAGGGAGAAGATGGCCATGTGACTGGAATGAAGCAACTACAGGCAAAGGAACACCAAGGATTGCTGGAAGCTAGAAAAGGCAAGGAAGGATTCTCCTCTAGAGCCTTCAGAGAGAGCATGGCTGTGCAGACATCTTGATTCCAGACTTCTAGCAAATAACAATAAATTTCTGTTGTTTTAAACCACCTAGTTTTTGGTACTTTTTTACAGCAGCCCTAGGAAACTAACACACCAATATTTACAGGAACAAAAGGAAGGGCCAGCAAAGGAGGCTAAGAGGTCATGGTTAGAGGGGAAAGAGGTCGAATTGAATTTAGACTAAAAAAAGACATGTAAGAATTTCACAAAAATTACCTAAACAATTGTTTTCCCTTTAAAATGACCTTTCTGGTTAGGGGAACAACTTTAACTGGCCTTGTGATTAGGAAATCTCAAAACATTTTTGAGACATCAGTTGTTAGCAGGAAAGAATAATAATGAACACTTACAATCTATAGAACCTCACTAGTCAAAATGTTTTTATCATTGGTTCTCAGAACTATCTGATGAGGTAGGCATTGTCTCCACTGTTTGAATAGGAAACTGAAGCTGAGAAAGAATTCAACTTTAAGTAAAATTATAAAATGTGTGGGCATTATGTTAACTGTTTCCTTATTTAATACTGAAAACAACCCTCTGAGGGAGGTGTCCTATCCACCTTTCACATGTCAGGAACATAGAAACGTTAAGCAAATCATCCAAGATCAGAGAGCTGGTAAGAGGTAAAAAAAAAGACTTTCAAACTCATGTCTGTTGTCACTAGAACTCATGTTCTTTCCACTACACCATGACTGGCCTCCATATGGACTGCTGAGCTCCACGAAATAATTATTAAAATGAGATAGGTACTGAGAGTAGATTTATGAAACTATAGATTCCTAACTTCAGAGAAATAGTTATACTTCTCTTATCTGAGAGACTTTATGCATAAAGCAGCTGAAGAAACCATTCATATAGAAGTAATTAGTTTATTGCAGCCACAATAAAATATATTTCCCACCAGTGTGTATTAGTAAAATGGTCTTTCTGGTCAGGTGAACAACTTTAACTGGCTATGTGGTTAGGAAATCTCAAGGTAGAATTTGGAGGTTAGTATCAGAATCATGTGTATACCTGCTTATCCTTCTCCTTGCTAAAGAGTGGAAAATCAGCATGAGACACAAATCCTATGGTACATTACAATATAAAATTTAAGTATTTTTAATAACATCATGTTTTCTTACCACACTGAGCATTAAATAAAGCCTTGTGGTTTAATAAAGATTTCTCACAGGATCTAGAAGAGTTTTTTTCAAAGACTACCCTACTTCATCTTAAGGCAATTTTTCATTCATCTTTAAGTTCGGAAAGAAGATTCCAATATTGCTTAAAATCCAAGAATCCAGAAGAGCAAATTATACAGCATTCTTTCTATTATTAAATGTTTATTTTTGAAATCACAGAGCTATAAAGGATGTCCAGAGGCATTTAATTTATCCATGTAGTCTTAATACCTTATGTAACTCTATTTTAAATAATGATCATGATGGAAAGTCTCTAAGAGGGCTGCCTCCATTGTGGCATCTGTTCCAGATTTGAAGGGAATTCCTAGGACAGAGGGGATTCCTTCATGGGGTGTCCTATCTGCCCCCAAGCTCTCTTCTTCCCACAAAAGCACTGAAGGCTCCACTGTCCCCTGGCGTTTACGCCAATCCTGATCTTGGGGAGGAACACTATGAACAGCACTAGCCCAAACCTTAGGGTCAAAAAGAATCAGCATAAGTCTCCTTGGCTGCCAGTCCCATTCAGGTGCTTGTATCCCAATTCTCATCAGCTGGATTTAGTTCCAGTTTCTGCACTCAAGTCTTTCTTTCAGTAACATGCATAATCTCCAGAATTGAGACTTTGTCTTCATCTGGCCAGTCTCTCTGCTGGAATAGAGTCTTGCCATGAATTCTAGTGTAGGGGCTGAAAACTTGCAAGTAGCTGAATGGCTTCTCTGGTCCTACCAGCCTACATGTCTGCCTGGACTCTTAAGTACTTGCATTATATTACTTTATCTTACCTATCAAAACATTTATATCTCCATGATTAGCCTATATTTTGTTTGTTGCTATCCCTTTTAATAATGGGCTCTGCATCTCATCAACTGTATTGAACCACATAAATCATCTCAATACCTGTCCCATTCCAGTGGAGTAGCCTAAATATACTCTATCCTGACAAGGTTAATTGTGCTATAACCAGCCCAATCCTGAGCACAAGCTATGATGGTGACCACTTCTTGGATCCGCCCAAATGCAGAGCTGTCAGCACCTTGTCTTCCCTCCCCTTCTTTAGGGTCTTCCTCATCAAAGCTTCATAATTTCCACTCATCTCACTGATTTTACAGGATAAAAATTAAATCCTCAAAAAAAGAAAAGGAGATAGAGATGTCAGTCACAAATGATGAAGGCAGAAGTAAGAAATATCCTACCTATAAGTAGTATGCTTCTCACTCCTAAAATAGGAATCCTTATTTCAGAAGGATAATATTTGAACTTAATTAAAATTATTAGGGTAATTGAATCTCAAGAATTAATTACATGTATCCTTAAATTTTACTTGTTAGTGTTTTGTTTTGCTCCAAATAATTTTGGAACTATGTCACGTATTAGGTACCTTGCAAGCAGTCTAAGTTCTTCAAAGGAAAGAGCTATGTCATCTTGCATATTATGTGACAGTTCCATCCAATATTAAATCCATAAATCCCTATATATTGGTTAAAACCACATGCAGGGGCATTTTATTAAGATTTATAAAAGCTTTGCTGCCATCGGATTGAATGCTGTTTTAACAATTATGATAATCACTTTAAACAAAGTGATTATCACAAATAAACAAAGGAAAGCAGTAAAAAGTAACAAGTGGCACTTGTTCTAACATTCTAAAGCAAATATAATCCTCTTCAATTCAAAAATCTTCTATTAATTACTCAAGAGACTTGTAACTATTCTACACAATTTCCAAACCTTTTTCGTCTTGGAAACGCATGCTTTCAGATACAGAAGTACTTGAGGATCCACTAACAGTCTGATCCTAAAGTGACATGTCTTCCTTCTGTGAAAGAGAGCAGGCAGTGGGTATTAGGGAACTGTAGTTTTCTCTTTTCTTTTTTTGAGGTACCAGGAAAACTCAGATTCCAAAAATCTCCCCCTCTCTTCATGTATTTCCTGTTATTTGAATTCACCAAAGCATTTTAGTTTAAGTTGTTAATACTAATATAACTGGCAATAATCTGGGAATTTTAACACTTTAAAGCTGCTATCATTTTATATAACTTAGAGTAACAAAAGCTGTATATTTATAGATAAAGTCGTGAGAGCAAATGGATCTTGAGGCTACCAGGAATCTGCGCCTGGGAAAGGGACCACCAAAAGGTAGCAAAGGGCAAGAGATTCTGGGGATAAAACAAGGCCAATCGTGTGCATTTCCCATGAGTGGAGAAAGCCTGAATAGCCTGGATTCTGGCTTACACTAGGCAGGCATCGTCATGGCACAGGCCAACAGACCGTTAATAAACATGGAGGTGGCCGGTGATTTTCAGGTCAGACTCATCCTCCGTTTATCTGGCTCCACTGTCTGTTTCCCAGCTGCTGGTGAATCAACAGTCTCTAGCAGACATTATTCCATGTGCCAAACATCTTAGGGGCCAACTGGTTTTGGAAAGGTCCATGAGAACCGAAGCCTCTTATCTTTATCTTTCATTCCTTCGAGGTACCACTATCCAAATGCTGGTCGAACAGCTGGGCTTAAAATCTCTCCCAGGTAAAATGGAAAGAGAAGGCAAGCAACCTCCTTCAAACTTTCAAGCCCTGTGCAAACAGAACAAGACCTAGGATGGTCAGGCTGATGTCTGCATCTCTCACATTTGGCAGAAAATGGTCTCCATCTGTGTTCCTTGAGCCCTTTGAAAATCACCGTGTCTGAAATTTTAAGGCCCTGAGTACCAGAGACAACACTCCTTTTAGAGGGAAGAACAGACTGAACCCTTCATCCAATACAGCCGTGGGTTTTTTTATGGATAAACTTTAACTAGCCCATCTGGCAGACATCTGAGGCACAGACACTCCTTACTTAATGTGGCCACAGCCTAAATTGTACAGAGTAAGAAATGAGAAGATAATTCTAAGGAAACACAAGTTCCCACAAATTAAATGGATTTCTTTCATGCTCCAATTGCCCTGTTCATTTTCAATGTTTCTTACGTTGATAACCTCCTTCCCAACTTCTCTGTTCATGCTTGGGCTCGCACATTCTCCTAATCTATTAATTATCTGTGTTAGTTATTCATCAAATACTATATGCTTTTGGTTGGAATCTGACCAAGTAACAAAAAAAAAGGTTCATGCTCTCCTAGGAATAACTTGTAAGAGACAATTTAGATTTCATCATACAATGCACATGGTGTACTCCCCAGAGAGATGCTACCATTAAAACAACTCTGCTTATCCCTCAAAGCAAAGTTATGTGGATTCTGAAAATTTCAGCCAAAAATAAAACATTCAAAAACAACAAAATATTTATAGGTAAAGATGTGATGCTTTTGAAATTATAGTCTACAAACTTTTGCCATGTCTTCTATCAGAAAACATCAGCCTAAGGCTGAGGTGTCAGATATTAACCTAGGGCTATTTTAAATGTTCCTGTTTATAAAAATTGAGAACTACTATATGTGGAAGAAGCTAACATGATATTTTTCTTTTTTCCTTTCCCCTTTCCAAAATCAATCAAATTACAATGGCTACCAGAACAGTATGAGAGAAACCTCATCTTTCACAACACATCTATAGCAAACAGCAAGGAGGCTTCCCAAACCAGTACTGCACGCAGAGAGTCAACAAAAGACAGCAAAGAATACGAACTGCCTGTGGTTAGAAAGACCAGAGCGAGGGATCTGTGAGCCAGCAGAGAACTTAAGAATAAGAACTGTGATCCAAAGACAATCTGAGGGAAAACAAGGTGAATGGTGGAACTGGAAAGGACGAAAACTAGCTACAGAAATGAGGGGCCCAGATAGGCAGGGATACAAAGGCCAAAGTAGCCCATAGACATAATGATGGATTCAGAAAGCAATACTTCTGTAATTCACTCTTTAAAAACTAAGAGTGGACCCAAAAGATTAAAGTCGCTTTCCATTAATATTTGACCCCCAAAAATTCAACCTGCTCCCATGTTTGTTGTATATCAGAGCTAGAAAATGAGTCCAGATAAGTCAGTTCCTGTGCTGATTTATTGCTATCCAATTAGGAAGCTCGCGGCTCACTGATCAGAAACAAAGATTAAAGGAAAAAAGATACTAAAAAGGCTAAAACTTCTGCAATCTCCTATCTCAACCGACTACACAAAAAGATATGCAGAACCTAATTTAGTATGGGTTATAAATCACTGAGAGTGTTAAAGAAAAAAAGGCCGATTTTAACATTTAAGCATGTTCCTTCTGAATTTTGATGTATTGTTACCTAACTGATAAAAATATTTTTAAATGAAGCTAAAAAAGCCCTTATTTTGACTGTCTACACAAAGCAAACATATCCAATATAAAAAGATACTTATGTAAATGAAAAATATTTAAGAAAGTATAGAATATCATACAGATTTGAGTAAATATTGTTACCATAATTGTTATTTGGCCTACTTCATTCTCATTGCCTGTGCCTTAATCAGCAAAAACACTGGTCAGAATCAATACATCAATAACTAACACCATGTAGGTTGAGGGATTTGTCTTGGTCTAATGGTTATTTAATAGATTACTGTTCTGTTCATTAGAGGATGTTAATACATCAACATATTATTTGCAAAATCTCAAGAATTTTTAATTATACTTTTATTTTTTATTCCGTAGGCTAATATACAAAGAAAATGCATGTAATAAAACTAACATCATCTTAAAATTAGGAAAGTAAAACAGTAATAATAATAGTTAGGTCAGGAACTGTAGCATCAAGAAATGTGCTGATTTATTAATAGGTGATGCACATTTTTTCGGCAGGAGATCTTGATCAATTCTGATCGCTATTTAGCATCTCAGTGGTAGCAAGATCTATAAGATAGAAATAAGGAAGGGATAGAGGGAGGGAGGAAAAAAGGAAAAACAGAAGGCCAGGTGTCAGAACACCTGGATTTTAGATCCTCCATTGATAGGTTGTATGATATTTGGCAAGTCATAACCTCTCTAAACCTCAATTTTCCCTTATTATATCAGCTCAACTTAGGTCCCAGGATCATCATGATGATTAAATTAGATGGTGTAGGTGACATTATTTTATAAATGACAAAGCCCTATATAAATAATATAAATTTGTTACTACTACAAATATTCAGCTCAACAAAGGAAACAATAAGAAATAATGAAGAATAAATTTGATTAGGTGCTGGGTTTATTTGATCACAGAACATGGTTAAGTTTCATTAATTCAATGTCCAATGTAGATTTTCCAACTTATTTATCCAAAGTGTTAGTTGGCATATTTTATAAATACCTGTCAAACAGAAAAATTTAATTTAACCAGATAATTAATAAATTCATTTCTTTCCTTGAGGTACACATAGCCACAAATGTAAATGAATTGTCATTTTACTACCTAAGTAAGATTTTTTAAAAAATAAATAGATAATAACCTATTAGTCCCTCTTTAGTCTCCTGGCCTTCAAGAATAATATAGTTCTGGATTCCCTGGAATGCTAGGATGTGTCTAAGTAGAGGTTACAATGGAGACTATGCTGACAGAACGGACACGGTGCTGCCAGGGAACGTCGTTACCAGTTGCCTGTAAGAGAAAGTGGCTCTGAAAAACTTCAAGCTGCCACCTGAATATCAAATATGAATAATTGAGTTAAGCTTGAATTACCCTCAGAAAATGTGTAGATTCACAGTGTAAAACCAGACTAACGTTGGCTAGAGCAATTGCACGGTGCTGGCTCATTTGGGGGTACAGCAAAGAGTCCCAGAGCCACCTACTCCTTGTACCTTTGAGGCAGCCCATTCTTTGGGAAAGAGAATTATAAAGTGCTTTTACTGTTACCACAACTGAAGGGCAAAGGAAATGCCTGAGAGCATGCCCTCTGGCCATCCAGACACAAATGCTGAAAATTACAATTGCCTCTCACGCCAAGATGTCACAAAGATCAAAAGAAGGAAAACTTGATTGCAAACTTTTCACGATTCCATATTCACCCATGCATGTAAAACAAATGGTCACATCCCTACTTATTAGTTAACAACATGAAACACTTCCACATGGTTCCTAGTAACCTGGCCGTAAACCCCTACAACCAAGAGCTGGTTACTGTAAAGGAGCTGTATGCTGGCGCCAGAGAGTGAATTTTGTGTATTTCTTCCGAACTCCACGTTCAATGAGGTCAATGAGCTTACATCAGCCGTGGTGGGAGTATTTACACCAGGGAACCTGGAAAACACTACAAATCAGAGTTTTCGTCGCCTTCTGGAGGCAGTTGTTAAACCTTTCCCAGCCTACCACTGCTCTAAGCATCCTCTTCATCAAAAAAGCAGATTTGGATCCCTTCCCATCTCTCAGTCTGTAAGGGTTCTCCAGGATTTCCAAAATGCCAACATTTTCAAGTCTGAAAGTTCACTCTCTCCAAGAGAACACACCTTAACGGCATCCTCAGTGTTGCTAAATTACACCAGAGGAAAAAAACAGTTTTTTGCTAAATCAGCTTCTGGTATTGCTCTAATATTTCAGTTCCTGACAGCTAGGAGTCTGATTACCACTCTCCCATTCATCCTTTCAGCAATCCTTGACTATTCAGACCTTCAGCCCAGTGAGGCATACAGATTCCTTACTCCTCCTCTTCCTTGCTTCATGTGAAAGGACTTCATCCAGATCCAGAAACAAATGCCCATTTTTTTGTGATAAGGAATGCCAATCATATTACTAATAACCTTGCTTTGCAAGTAATGCTCCATGCTCTGCACCAGGTGCTCTCAATACAAAGATGCATCAAGCACAGTCCCTCCTTATGGGAATCAAGTGTGGCAACAGACATCTAAACAATGGCTTCCCCACTGTATTTTAAGTAAGAATGGAAACAGCGAGAATATTTTGGAATTCCAGGAGAATTCCAAAAGTGTATAATTCCTTACATGAACACTTCAATGCAATTCATTTACTTAGTGACCACGGTGAGCTAGGCACTATGCACACCTGTCACACGTCCATGAGGAGATAGAAACTTAGTGAGAGAAGCAAACATACAATCAGTGAAATTATACTACAGTATGAGCCGTATGCGAGATTCCACTCAGCTGTAAGATACCCTTTAGCCCTTAGAACTATATCATATATGGCCAGAAAAAATGTTCAAATGGATTAAATAAAACCAAAACATATATAGGCTGGCATTCTTTCAAAAATAACTATCTCCTCCCCTTCAAGAAAATGAACCAATTGTGCTAATAGAACACTTCTCTTTCAACCACTAGATGCATTTTATAATGTTAATGGTTGTCATATAACATGAAACTTATGTACATCACACATTAAAGTCATAGATTGCTACCAAGTCAAAGCAATATTAAATTGATACCTAGCAATTTATTATCAAGTAAGATCTTCTATAAATGAGAAAATTAAAATATACTAATTCCTATTAATAAAATAATATCAGACGCAGTAAGTAAAATAGAAAGAAACTGTTCATATTCCAATTTTAATTGACATGACCAAAATATCCAATTGATAAAAATTAAATCTCCATACAAAATAAAAGTTCATTTCACCTAAAGGAATACATAGCAATCTGTTCTTAAAACAGTTGAATTATAGTAATAAAAAATATATTTTTCCAAAGATAGCTCCTGAACATATCTTTTCATATTATAAATAATTTAACAATTATTCAGTGGGGCATTTTTTAAAAATTTCATTCCAAATCACAATACTTAAGCTGCATGATATTGTATCAACTTATATGTATACATACACTACCTTGAAGGGACCTTGCAAATAATTTGCATACACAAATTAGACCAGGAATCAGCAAATATCTTCTAAAAAGGGCCAGATAGTAAATATTTCAGGCTTTACAGTCCAGATGGTCTCTGGACTGTGGCAATTACTAACTCTGCCTTTGTAGTATGAAAGCAGCCATGGGCATACACAAACTAATGAGCATGCCAACCTCCAATAAAACTTTATTTACAAAAACAGGCAGTGGGCCGGAAATGGCCCACAGACCATAGTTCACCAACCCCAATTTCAATTTTAAAAATTCCAGACATCTTCACAAGTGCCTCTGACATTTACCCGGATCTCCTTGTTTCGCCTTCTCTTCATTCTGGGAAGACTGTCTTAACATGTGTGCTTTAAGCAATTGGGGATTGAATACTTTGATATATGAATATTTTATTTTAAACAGTCCTCTGCCTACACACCCCCATCAGTCCTCCCAGCACCTGGCAATGAAGAAGCACATACTACGTCCTCAGTACAGAAAACTGGTTCTATCAGTTCTATTAAAATGATGAAAGCTGCTCTGCCTAAATTCTAAGTGTTCTAGAGCTTCAGGGTCTGACTCAGGACATAAATGCAAAAGTGGGATTTAAGACAACTGGCAGATTTTGGGGAGCTATTAGTCACAAATGAAGACTGCATTCAAGCACTACTGTTTATTGTTTGAGTACAGGTTTAAAACTGATAAGACAATTTCTTTAGAGTAAGTTATTTGGGTAAGTATTATTTGGAAGTTTACTGAGAAAGTTTACTGAGTTCATTCTGACCTTTGTCATAAATTAAGTAAACTCGCATCGGCTCATTTAAGAAGTAAAGGGTGATGGGGAGAAAAGGCTGAAATGTTAGTGATTCCTTCTACTGCACAGAAATTTCTGAATTGAGCAATAAGCCTAAACATTGCAAAGATCCAAAATTTAATCTCTTAGGACCAGTAAGCCAATTACCGACAATACCGTAAAGACGTCCAAAATGGGAGTTAATGTAATTCATTGTCATCCAAACCAAAATCACGAAAGCACGTAAAAAGCAAACAGTATATTTTCCACAAGCAATAATTTTTCTTTCTCCAAGTTTTATGTACATTACTACAACCCAGATTAATATTTTCTGGGCAGTTGATTTTTATTTGTTTGGTCAGGATGAGATGCTGCTCTGCAGAAATAGATTTACTCTTCTGGTACATTTTCAGAATATTCTTGCTTATCCTTTCATTGTGGGGATGAAAGAGTAGCTTGATACGTCTGGAAAATGAAAAGGCCCTGTATGGAGAAACTAACATGCAGAGTATATAAGGCTGTCATGTAAATATAATATGCGGATAATTTGCTAACTTTGAAATGAAACAAATCAATAAATAAGCTAAAAATTTTGTAACTTAAGCTATTTAATATGATCCTACCTGAAATATTTATTGTTTACTAAAAAAATTATATTAAAATAGAGGCTGGCCCAGCGTGGCGCAAGCGGTTAAGTGCGAGCGCTCCACTGCGGCGGACCGGGGTTCGCCGGTTCGGATCCCGGGGGCGCACCGATGCACCGCTTGGCAAACCATGCTGTGGCGGCGTCCCATATAAAGTGGAGGAAGACGGGCATGGGTATTAGCCCAGGGCCAGTCTTCCTCAGCAAAAAAAGAGGAGGATTGGCAGATGTTAGCACAGGGCTGATCTTCCTCACACACACACAAAAAAAATCCTAAAATAAAGCAAAGCATCCACAATGTCAACAAAATATGTTTCAATAACTCAATTTATGAGAAAAATGTTGAGGGGAACTGTTTACCCTTTTTCACTCCTTTGCAAGTTGAGAAGCTCTACCACACAGCCGAATAAGATTCCCTACGGCGAATGCTGGCTCTGTCACTTAGTACCTGAGTGACTTTGCGCATGTTACATAACCCCTCTCTGGATCTCAATTTGCTCTGCTGTAAAATGGGAATAAGATGGGGCCAGCCCGGTGGTGCAGTGGTTAAGTGCACGCGCTCTGCCTCGGTGGCCCGGGGTTCACCGGTTCAGAACCCCGGGCGCATACCGACACACCGATTGTCAAGCCACGCTGTGGTGACATCCTATATAAGGTAGAGGAAGATGGGCATGGATGTTAGCTCAGGGCTGATCTTCCTCACACAAAAATAAATAAATAAATAAAAATAAAAAAATAAAATGGGAATAATATTAGAACCAATCTCATACAGTTGATGTGAGACTTAGGTGAGATATTCTTAATCCACTATAAACAGAGCTTAATATACAGAAAATGTTGAATAAATGTTAGCCACTAGTAACACATTCATTTTTCTCAGCTCTATGTCATTTTATTTACTACAATTTTACCTCACAAATGACAGACAAGAGACGATAGCTTCTTAGAAATGAGAACTGGGGTCAAGCAGTTTAGATAGGAGACACACATGAGCACAGCTCAATAGACACAATACAGCTGTGTACTCCTGGTTACTGACAACGGCCACCAGGCGGGTCTGGTGCCCTGCAGGATGCCAAAGCAATGTTTTTGGCCAGCAACATCAAGCAGATCAGAAATCCAGAAGGCAAAAGTACATACAGTGACAGATTCTATGGCTATCAACTAGAACTCAAATATGGAAAGTGTGTCTGCATGTGCACAAACTCAAATATGGGCATGATATGAAAAGGTTCCTACTTGGCCTTTTCAGCCCTTTTTGCCATGAGCGCCTTAGATTTCATACAAAGACTTGCCCAGTGTGCTGCCAACAAAGCAACATTTCAAAAATAAAGTTCCAAAACACTTAAATCTAAGTCTCAGACCATGCAAAATCTGATTTCACTCAATGTCTTCAGCCTGAAGGAAATGGATACAAGGCACGAGACACTTTAAGCTTTAGCCCAGTGAAACTTATTAAACAAGAAAGGGAAGGTATATTTTACTGTGAATTGCATTTTAAAGCAAAGGCAATATAATGGTACTTCTGGAATCTCATAAACTTTGAATAAAAATGGAGCAGTTCATACTTAATGCTTTGTTTTATAAAGCTCTTCCAGATACTTGAAGTGTGAAAGCTGCTACTTTATATAAAACAACATTCTGTTCTATAAAGCTTTGTCCTAAATATCTAACACTTGGGTACATTTCATGGCATTTTAAAATGCATTGTTTTCTGAACTTGCATTTATTGGTGATGTCAGAACTAAAGAATTATAACACAGTGTCACAATTTAATATGGAAGCATTATGATTTCAACACAGGTTCTTATTTTTTAAATAGTATTTTTATCTTCTAAATATAATTAAGGAATAAAAATTATTCTCACACATATAATAGGTTTTCCTGGGTCGGTTAATATTTAACCCATATATTCCAGAATGATAAAAAAAAATGCCTGCAATAGAAAAGACCCTCTCCATCTGATTTTCCACACACTGTTTAGTCAACTTATTACAGTAAGTATAGATATTTCCACATTCAGTTACCACTGGCATTAATTTCAACCTTGAGTAGCAGAACTAAATTTACCAAAGATGATCATGTGTTACACAATTTCAAGTGACTGTACCTGAATAATTTTCAATAATAGCGATCAACAGTTATCTAAAGAGAGATTAGCAAGCTAATCATATTTTAGTTAGTATTTTTCAAACTGCAGGTTGTTACCTATTAGTGCGTCCCAAAATCAATTTAGTGGTTTACAACATGCGTTTTTTTAGTTAAATGATAGAACAGAATAAAATGGAAAAGAATAGAAATATTCAAGTATATCACATGTATAAGAAGAGCATATTTTCATAAAATGTCTTTTTCAGTTATGTATTTGTGTACATAGTGGATTGCAATTAAAATCTATTTCTTATTATAGGTATCTGCCAAAAACCTTTGAAAGTCAATAGAGAACTATTATGCCTAAGTGTAAGTATAAAAGTAAAATGGAAAACTCTTGACTCTTGCTTACAATTTATCTATGTAGTTCACTTCCCACACAAACCCAACTACACTTCCACAATATCTAAAGTTCTAACAAATATAGAAAAATGCTTCTCTGCATTAAAGTCCAAATTTTCATTTCGGACGTTATGACTGTCATTTTTGAAAACTGGAAATAAAAATTTTCTCTTTTTATTGCTCTATCCACCTCGTCTAACTTCTTTTTTTTGTTGGTGGGGGAAGGGGATATTTGAAGTTGAGTAGCACAAGGCAACCTACATGTTAGCTTACTAGCTTCCTAGAAATTTAAAACATTCTCTTCTTCAGTTCAGCAGTATACTATTATAGTGACCAATATTCCCTCTAATTTTCAAAGATATGTACAGAATATCATGCTATAAAAGTAACTAACCAGAATGTCTGAACACAACTTAAAGAAGTTAACCCGATGTATATAACCACCAGTGTGGCATATAATAATTAATAAATAATAATTATTATCATTAGAAGTAGTAGTAGTACCTGGTCTAACCAGTAGTAGTACCTTGTCTAACCAGATAGTGTATTAGCAGAAAAAAATTGTTCTAGAACATTCAGGGACCCGGGAGTTTGTGGTCCATAGGCTTCCCTATCAACCTTACTTCCATAAAACATACCCACTCTCCTGGAATTTCATCTCGGCAATCTGCAACTTTCTAGGGCTGATTTAAGGCAACCACTGGGCACTTCTGTCTGCTCTGATATACATCTTCATACTTGGGGATGAGCAAACCCTTTAGCCAGGATCTCCCAAAAACACTGAGGTCACAAATGTTTGGCCATCGAGGGAAAATGAAAATCAAGTCAGTGTACCTCACAGAAGCTGACTCCTGTGTTCTCTAGCAGGCTAAACAGGTGCTGACTGCCCCAAATATAACAAAACAAAACAAAAAAAAAGGAAAGTCTACTTCTCAGAAGAGGGGTGGGGGAACGGGGGAGGAAGGTACAGCAGGGCTGGGGATGGGGTGGTTTCTAATCCTTCATCAAGATAAGATTAGGTACTAATAGTAGTTTAGAGCTTTTCTATCGCTGTTCCCGACAGAGACAGGCCTGCAATATTCTTTTCTCATACTGTCCTTTTCTGATTTTGGTGTCAAGAGAGTGCTATACTTCCCACTGCCATTCTCTGGAAAAGTGTGTGGTGGAATGTCGGAATTACTTCTTCCTTGAATGTTTGGATGAACTTACCTACAATACCATCAGAGCCTGGTATTTTATTTGAGGAAAGATTTTCTTTAATTTAATTTCTTCAGTGCTTAAAAAATTTTGTCAGGTTTTCTATTTCTTTTTGAGTGTTGGTGGAAAGTGCTTCTCTAAAAATTTTATTCCACTTTTGTCTAAGTGTTCAAATTTACTACCATTAAATTATGTACAATATCTTTCTGACCTTGTTAATTTCTCAATTGTGTCCCTTCTATTCTTAAGAATTTTTTATTCTTGCCTTTTCTTTTAATCCATCTTACTAGATATTTGATAATTGTTAGTCTTTTCAAAGAAACAAATTTTAACTTTGTTGATCCTCTCTCTTAAAACCATGTTTTCTTTCTAAATTGTGATTATATTTGAGTTTCTTCCTACTATATTATATTGTTTTTCTATTTTTCTCACTTTCTATGCTTCTTTTTTTCTTCCTTTCTTGCCTTATCTTAAATTACTGCTTTTCTCATTCCATTTTTTACTTTACTAATTTAGAAATTATGTACTCCATCCCTTTTCTTTGAGTCTTACCCTTGACATTTTACTATGCATACTTAAAAAGGTAAAATCTGAAATTAATTAGTATTACTATCCTCCTTTCAAAAAAATATAAGGAATTCAGGATACTTTAACTCCTGTCATACTCCACCCTCGATCATATGCTATTGCCAAATATTTCAGTTCTATCATTTTAACCACACTGTTAGACAACATTGCTACTGATTCATGCAGTGGGTATCAGTTTAGCTGTAACCACAAGCTTCTGATTTTCATTGGTCACCATTCCTTCTTGCATTCAGATCTCCTTTAAGGAATCACTCTTAAGTACATCCTTTCGAATTTCCTTTAGTGAAGGATCTGTTGAGGACAAACTATCTTGTTGTCTGAAAATATCTTTCTTTTGCCCTTATTCTGCAAAAAGACTGATTTGCTGAATATAAAATTAGAGTTAGACAACTGTTTTCTTTTAATAAATTAAGATATTCTTCCACTGTCCTCTGGCTTCCATTCTTGCTACTGAAAAGTCAACCATGCGTGTCATTCCTTGGTAGAGAATGTGTCTTTTCGTTGCGCTGACTGTAAGATCTTTGCAGCCTCACTGTGATGGGCCTCAGGCATAGACTTCCTTTTGTTTACTTGGGATTCCCTGGGTTTTCCTAAACCTGAGAATTAGTATCTTTCATCAATTTTGAAAAATCCCTAGCCATTAGCTCTTCAAAACTTACCTCCCCCCTAATTCTCTCTCCTCTGTCCTCCCACATCTCTGATTAGGTAGATATTAAACCTTTCATTTATGATTTTATTCTGCAATATATAGAGAGTGCTCACTAGGTGCCAGACACGGACTCAGGCACTGGGACCGCAGCAGTGAATAACACGGGCAAAGCCCTTCCCTCAGAGGCCTACGCGCCAGTGAGGCGAAGCAGGCAGAAGGAAGGAAGTGCAGTTACAGTGTGTCTGATAGAGTAAGTGATTCATCTCCTGGCCTCCTTTCCACGTGTTCTCATCTCTTTTCTCTCTGTACTCCTTTCATTCATTTATTCAAGAAGTAATTCCAGAGCTTCTACTATGTGACAAGCATTATTTTCGGCCCTAGAGTTGCTGTACTAAACATGAAGAACAGTCTATTGGGGGGATAAGGAGAGACGAGCAATAAACAAATACGTTAATGAATAGTATGTCACCGGGTAATTAATACTGTGAAGACAAGAAACCATGGTAAGAGATGTGGGAAGTGCAGGATGGGGGTTGCTCTTTTATCATGGATGGTCAGGGAAGGACTGCCAGATAAGGTGTAATTTGAAGAGAAACCTGGAAGAAGTGAAGGAGCAAGCCATGTGACCATGAAGTACAGTATTCCAGGAAGAACAAACAGCAAGAGCCAAGATAAGGTCATTCTGAATCATTTCTTCAGCTCTCTCTCATAGGCCACTAATTCCATTTTCAGCTATGTGTACTGTTTAGGCTGTCCATTGAGTTTTAATATCAACTTTTGTATTTTTCATTTGGAAGTTCTATTTACTTTTCAAAACTGTTTGATCAGTTTCATAGTCTCTTGTTCCTCACTCATATTTTAATCCTATTTTTTATTTCTTCAAACTACATTAAACCTATTATATAGTTTGTGTCCGATAATTCTAATATCTGAAGTCTTTGAGGATTATTTATTGTTGAATAACAATATTACCACAAACTTAGAAACTTAAAACAACACCCATCTATCATCTCACAGTTTCTGTAGGTTAGGAGTCTGGGCATGGCTTAGATGGCTGGGTCCTTGGCTCAGAGTCTCACAGAGCTGCAAGCAAGGTGTTAGCCAGGGCCACGATCTCATCTGAGACTCAACCTAGGGGAGGGTCCACTTCCAAGCTCACAGGCTGTTGGCAGCATTCAGTTCCCTGCAGTTTCCAGACTGAGGGTCGTACTTTCTTGCTGGCTGTTGGCTGGAGGCTGCCCTCAGCTTCTTGCCTTCTCCATAGGACATCTCACAATATAGGAGCTTGGTTCTTCAAAGCCACCAAGGAAGAGAGTCTCCTCCCAAGATGTGCAATATGATATTATGTATCATAATCACAGAAATGACACTCTATCACCTTTGCCATATTCAATGGGTAAGAGTCACAGGTCCCATCCATGCTCAAGGAGAGGAGACTACACAAGGGTGTGAATATCGGGAAGCAGGGACCATGGGGCCCCACTGAGTCTGTCAGCCAGTGGGCCTGATTCTCTAGCCCATTGT